TAATTTGATACATTTTTATACATGTTTGATAGACCTGGGTAGGCGACATATGGCGATAGACCTCACGCTATAGTAGCACCCATTATTTTATCCTAAGGGTAGGTATAACTTTGAGTGATAAAAATTATGACTCTTATATTTATTGATCTATATAAAAACACTTGCCTTACTGTAGATTATTTGTTCACTAATCACAATGACGTCCTCTCTTCGTTGCACAATAGCATGTAACTTTAGAAACTACCACTTTGTAATGGTCAAATTTCACAAAGTCCACAGAGTGCAAACAAATAACATCCAAGTGTTTATGGTGCATATGAGTAAATTAAACTGTTAATATAAGTATACACAGTGCAGCCAAAACAAAACTTGTTCATTTCATTCTTTACTGATATCTATCTTTTGTATAATCAAGATTAGTTGTTCATTGAATCTCAAAACTTTCATTAACATTTTTAAAAAAAATTTTAATTTTTTGCAAGCTATGTTCACTGGGCTGGCATGGACCAATATGCAACACACCTTCAAATTCAACCACGTACCAGCTCAAAGAGTGTTATAATAAGGCTTCTACTTAGGTCCTAAAACACTTAATACTTTGGTATACACTGTACGTATATTTAAATATGAACACTATCAAGCTTTATAAATGTAGAATTAAAAACAAAAACAGCATGCTTTTAAAACATTTGAGAAAGAGAATGTGTGGGTGTGTGCAGGCTAAGTAAGAAACTTTTAGAATACTTGTTTTATCCTGGCAAATTTTTTAAATTTCTGTTTAAAGTAATTCAGTTATAAAAAACCTTTGATTTAAATATCAAGGTAATTTGATGAGGAATGTTATTTCCCATTTTTCTTTACCCACACTGGTTAAAAACAGAATGCAGTAACCAAATTTGAAATAGCTGTGTTGTAGCCATTTACTATTTCTCATGTGTTAGTTAATAACCAGTAATACAAACCTTCATAAACCTATGTCAAGATGTATTCATGATGTTAGAAAAACACTGATTCAAAAACAGAGAAAAAATAAAGGTTTCTTATTTTTATCTTTGAAGATGTATGACGTTCTTAGTCAAATTTTACAGCTTTTTTGTCTGTGAGATAATTTTCCAACATAATTCATACTTTTAAATTAAACAAAATTCACTAAGCCTTATAGAAAGAGCACACTGTATTTTACAGCCCTATACGTTTCCACTTAAAACAGCATTGAACTGAAATATTTGCACTTCTGAAACGTTATTTGACATGCTCTAACAAGCACTCAATATGCTGAAACTGACTTCGAAAAAAAAACAGGATGTTCCAAATATAAGCATTTTGAAAAACAGAAAAGACAGTAAAATTGCATATCACAAGTTAACAAGGTATGTTTATTTGTTTTATCTAAAACACAATAAATACTGAACTTTGATGATGAGATTATTTTCTTCATACCTAATTGCAGAAGTAACCCTGTTAATACAAATCTCCACAACACTCTGATTGTTACCATTAAGGATAAACTCTGAGTCACTTGACAGTTCCTGGATTTTAAAGAGGACCTCTGACAAATCATCCACGATGCTTTGATCGTCCAAGGAAAATAGATCACCAGCACGAGAAAGATCTCGATTGTTTAAAACTTGAGCGAACAGTTCGTGCATTATGGTAACGTCATCATACCGTACTACTAACTGAAAAGAAAAAAGAGTAGAGTATCAGAGTATATGCAACAATTAAAGTCAAAAGATCATTCATCAAGGTATCATAAAGCCCCCACTCAAAAAAAAATTATAATAAATTATGTATACTACATACCACAGATACGGTGGGAATATAACTTTCTCCACTTTTGTTTTTTTCGTATATTTCACAAACTTTGGGCCCACTAACAGGTGAACTCTCTTGTCAAATCCTCTCTAATGAAAAATGGTGAAAGGAGCTAACAAAACATGGAAAAAAGTTCACCAAATTTCATGCATCCTTTTAAACATTTTATCTTGCTAAGAGTCTAATAAATTAGTTATCTTTCTTATGCATAATAATATTCAAAAAGAACTTTAGAATTTTGTAACCTACATGTACTTTTAACAGCAAATAATTGTTAATTTAGCAAACTACTGTAAAAAGATTATTAAACCATATGTAAAAAAAATTCTACAAGAGTCTGTTTAACTCTAAAACTTACATATATGAACAAAGACTTCAATATAATAAAATGCTCACGAATACTTAGAGTACACGTATACAGTATCTAAAGTAAACATTACACTGAACCAAGAAAAATGTCACCCAATCCGTTGATATCTTTATCTAAAAACTTATCACTGCACCTTACATGCACTATTAAGTTTTTACGTACTCTTAATGAATAATGCTTGATTATTAGATATGCTTAGCTGTTAACAGTAATGCTTCAATGTGATTATTTTCATTTAAGTCTCAATTCCATTCTGTTATCAAAGAACCAGAATTTCCAATGCACTGAGTAAACATTAAAGAAAAGATAAAAACTTGTTTAAGTTGAGTACTGATTGTAAACTGGACTATTTGTGAAGTCTCAAAGTTGCTAAAGTTGTGCTTTTCTAATAACAATTCTCACGTGCTGATAATCATAAAATGGTTCCACATAACATAATGTAGATATCACAGATAATGTAAGCAAATTCAGAAACATCTGGCCAGATTCGCTGTTCACTCTTGAATTTTTCTTTTAGTATGTAAACAGTCAATAATCTAGAAAAAATATGCAGGTATACCCTACTGATACTCCGAATACTCTAAACAAAGGCATTAAAAGTTTGAGCAACTTTGTAAGAAGTCTAGCAGAATATGGGTGTCCATATGCAAGGAGTATTTCATTCAAATTATTTTTGAATTTAAGAAATTTGATAATGTTCATACAGATTGCATTACAAACCAGTCATTTTCCATCCATTTACCATGTACAAAGTTTAAAATGATGACATCTTGGAGAGATGTGGAGTGACCAAAGGTTGTTTTTCTTTAAAAAAGGATATATTTGCAAAACATCTATTATCATGGGTAAAAGATATGCATCAAACTCTCCAAGTCAAAGGTCAATAACAACACGTAGAACATTAGTATTACTAAAATATGCTAAGAGAGTATATCGCAACTGCCATTCAACTTTGTTCTCGAAGGATCAGCATATTAATCACTAGCCATAAGGGTTCACAGTAATCACAAAGGTATATCAAACTCAATCACATTATTCCAAATCAGTCCAGTAAACTCATTCAAATCACAAAAGTCACATTATTAACAAGATCGTGGAAACGTTAAAACATTACACTGTTAATCTTTGATCAAGTTGATTTGTCAAAGCACATTTATGCCAGTTTTGTCTTCATACAGGACATAGCTTTCATGATTATTTATCTATATCATATATATATTCATTGGTCATATGTTCTCTCCTACCATAGTATGCACAATGACAACCAAATGGCAGACAGTTGAAAGCTGTAAAAGTGAATACAAACATACACATACATACATACACACACAAATATAGATATACTTTATTCTATACTAGTTATGGAAGGGTAAAATATTATGGTATTAATATAATTACACCAAAAGTCCACATTAAGCACATGCAATAGTCAGTACTTTGAGATATTTAATGGCACTCTATGTTGATACTAATATTGCACTGGTATACTTGCTTGATTTGAATTAGTGAGCTTTCATACTCCTGTTGCATAAGGTGAAAGTGAGACAATAAATCTTGAGGAGTCACCAACAAAAAATTGATTTAACACTACTATACCTATTGAAATTCATTTTTAACGATTTTCAAAAAGGAAAATTCACCAGAATATATTTTATTTGGAAAAACTCGAGGCCTATTAAGTAGACTTTTACCTGGAAGATAAGAGTTCTTCTTAATGACGCTACATTGTTAAAAAAAACATTAAATTTATGACTGTGCTTGCAGTTAGTGTTTGTATTTTCTGTTAGATTATTTTCAGTTTGTATTTCTATTATTATACTTTTATTATGGATTGTTTTGCATTGTTAGCTTAATATACAAATTTAGGACTAGTCTAAATCTCCTAAGCTGGCTGAACATCATGAAATATTATTAGGTTTATGGTACCCAACTGATGAAACTGGCTTTTAATCATTATAAGTAAGAATGCAAATATATATATATAATTAGCTATTCTCACTACAGGTTTTAGTTTTGTTTCAAGTACTCTCAGATTGCAAGTTAATATTAATAACATTTGAGGAACAAGTGGCCCCTTAGCTCATCATGGCTCTTCACATTGATTTTCTCAAACATCTGCCTCTATCCAGTCCTGACTACTACTACTACCCAGCTAAATCTTAAAGTTAACATTCTCTCACACAATAGGTACTTGCCTCCTCTAATAAAAATGATGAGGTAGCACTTTCTTACACTGAAAATGTATTTCCAGTAGGTATTTACCTTCACTCACATAAAGCTATTCGATATTGACACAGCTAGCTCCCTCTGATTCTCCCACTCAGTCCGCACTTTCAAGAATTGGCAGGATCTAAAATGAGTAGCACTGGCAATGGGGAGGAAGGGTTGGAAGTGTGTGAGAATAGGCAAGTACCTATTGGAAATACATTGTTAGTGTAAGAAAATGTTAACTTCTACCAATACAGTCTTACCTCCCCTCACACAAAGCTAGAATCCCATATTGAAAAGGTGGAGTGGCCAGTATAGGCACCTAACAGTGAAACCAAGCAGAAAGTGACCACCTAGAAATAACTGGCATGCTCTTTGCCCCATAAGTAAGAAAAGAACCTGACACGGGCAGAAACAAAAAAGATCTGTACATGCTTAATTCCTCCTGAGAAGTGCAATCCATAGTAAAAAAACCTGAAGCAAACTTGATACCCACATGAGAAGAAACGGCAAGTTAAGGGACAGTTTCTTGAAATATAACAATGGAGAAAAATCTAGCCATGGCTCAGTATCTACCCAAACTCAACCAGCCAGATGAGGTTCCACAATGTGTCCTCATCATTGGAGGTTGAGGATCGCCCAGATAAAAAACAATTTAGAGTAGCATAAATGTTGTGGCTAGGGCACATGGACCATGTAATATATATACACCAACCCCAACTGTAAGTAAATAGTCAAGCAATCGGAATTACGAAGAGGAAGTTATCATTTGGCCGAAACCAGACAAAGTTCCAAAATCACTGTAGGAGCAAGAAGTACAACAAACTGAACCCAGCATTACTGGGTCGGGTCATTGCATCAATTCAACCATAAAAACAGGGCAATAACTGTAACCTGGCAACATTAAAAGCATAAATATCTGATCAATGAAATCCACAAGCTGGGATAAAAAGTAAATATAATAAACCAGATATCTGATTAACCAGCTATAAATAAAGATGTAGAGTGTGACAGACCAAAATAAGAAGGTGCCAGAAAAAAGTGAATCCAATTTTCTTCTTCTTTATTGTATTCATCCTCAGAAACACTGTCATATTTAGAATGAGAAGAAATCACCAGCCGAATAGGATTTTAACTCCCTGTGAATTAAAGCCTGTACCTCCTCAGCAGATGAAGTTGAACCCAATGCCTGGGTAGTTGTACCAGAAGCGTTGTCTACCATAATGGGAACTTCCATTGTTGATACATTGAATCACAAAGTCATTCTAAGTTACAGTATAATTCAGTAACAATAAACAGCACAAAAAAAAAAATTGAAACAACGGAATGTAAACACAATAAAAAAAACAAAAAACTATTGAAATGTCAATGAAGTACAATCGTAAATGGTAGTCACATGCAAAATACGAGTCTGAAGGATGCAGTGCCTAATGAGAAAGTAAGGACTGAGTAGGAGGATCAGAAGGAGCTAGCTGCATCAATATAGGTGCCGCAATACTATTGGTGGAGGGTGATCACATGCTATATACATGTTCAAAAGGGGAGCAAAACTTGTGGAGTATATAGGGGCTAAAAACATCAAGATAGCTTTGTGTGAAAGGAGGTAAGACCGTATCAGAATCTATGTCCCCGAGTCCCACCAATTTTACCATTAAACAAGAAAAAAGATGATGAATCAATCCTATTTCTTCCCTTTTTACTTTTAAACTCGTCAATCACATCCCCTTCTTTCTCAAGATAAAATAATTTTCAGGACCTTAACCTGTCTCGATATTACAACCCCTCAATCCCAGGAATCATCCTAGTAGCCCTCTTCAAACCGTTTCCAACAACTCAATGTTCTTCTTCAAGCAAGAAGCCCAAGACTGAACATAATATTTTAAGGGAGGTCAAACCAGAGATCTGTACAAAGAAATAACCTTCTTTGATTTATATTCAATATTACTGAAAATGTAACTCCAAATCCTATTTGCTGTTCCACTAGAAACTTATTCCTGGATTCTTGTCAATGTCCGAGCTTAGTTGCTTTACTGCACTTGATATGTAGGTCGATTTTTTGCATCCAGGTTCAAGAATATTAACCCAATTCCCTTTTGGTCAGAGAGCAGCAGTACTTTACAGTACAGCATCCCTATTTCCAGGCAAGTTAATCTCTTACAAAGACTAAATGGATTATTTTCTTGAATGTGATAACTGCAAAAAAAGAAGTTGTAGGTTTTAAAATATTTAGTGTAGTTTGAAAGAATGATTTTTTGTTTTTTTGTGAATAACTCAGATTTATATCAACACAAGTACATGTGAACTGAGCTTGCTAACAACAATGCACTACAGAAAAGAAAATCTTCTAGGCAGTGTGTTGTTGTCAGTGAAAAAGCAAACAGAGGTTATGCAGTCACGTGACTGAAAGCAGAACTACTTTTACCATCTGCCATTTTGGACATAAACATGATAACCTTCCCAACTGTAACATTACATTGTGTACAGGAAAACTTTGTGTTTGGCACTTTGATTGGCATTTTATGGTGCAAAGAAAC